TAATCATGTGTGAGTCGTCTCGAAAATCGCACAGGCGATAAAAAATGCAGAGCTATGGGGTAGGGACAACATGAACTGCGCGCGACATCGTAATCCTCGTGAGAAGCTTATCGGACGGGGACAACGCGTTCGTGTGTATTGTTGTATTCGTCTGTACGTACATACAGGATGCACGATGCACATCCGGTACGCGCGAATAAAACAACGCTCTTCCTGTACCAGCCAAGTGCGACAACGGCAATTAGCGCCTCCGGCTGGCAATATGCGCATAAACCGACGAAAAATATATAGGTACGAGAAATGCTAATATACGCGCACGCGCGCGCGTCCTCTCTGGACCACCGCAATGCTGCGTTAAAAGCATGTTTTTCTCGTGTGATTATCCAGTTTTGTCGCCAGCGAATATTTCCACAGTGAAACTAATCGGATTCCTTTCGAATTAACAAAAGGTCTTATTAAGATCTTATATAAGCTATATACATATATATTCACATTTCTGTAATTATGCATTCGATATTTTGATTCGTGCAATTCCACGTTTATTGAAATTAATGTGAGCTGTGCCTTTCTTCAAGTTAGAAAATATAAATCAGAAAAAGAGCGCACCGTTATTTATCGATATAATAAAAAAAGATAAAATTAAAATTGACAAAGATCGTATGATAAAAGACGAACAATAAACGGGTTCTTGCTATATCCCGTATAACGTGATATAGCAATAAGATTTTTTCGGACACTTCTAGCTGAGATACGGCAAAAGTATCCTGAGAAAGGGCAGAAGGGTGTGAAGTCGTTGAGAGGTAACAACAGCCTTATGGACAATTCGATCCTGAATGGAGATTGTCGAGATAAAATTGCGCGGGTACAGACACATTCTCATGGGATATATAGACTATTCGTTCCCATTGACCCTTAAGACGATTCTCTCAAGATAAACCTGCCAAAAATTGGTGGCAGATGCGAATCGTGCTGCGTCATCGGCGCATGAATTATAGTATCTAATATAATAACACATACACGGAAATAGTATTGGATAATTTTAAAAATTATAACCTCATTTAGTAGATGTAACTTTCTTGATTAAGTAATCATGTTAAATAATCATTAATTATTTAGGATTACTTTACCAAAGAATAATTTAAGAAAGAAGCAAAAAACATTTGTTAAGTTTTAAAATACAATTATTAAAAGAAATATAAGAACCAATATATTGCAACTGTTATAATAATGCAACTGTTAAAAATGACTGTATAAAAAATGAAAAGACGATAAACACTATCAACATAATCGATAAGTTCGGACTACCTCGTTATATCGATTTGTACCTAATCTCTCCGCTCTTTTTTAATCGGCTTAATGTTCATAATACTATCGATCGGGATAATAATCGAACTGGTAATACGTACAAAATTATACGTACAAAATACGTCTTTCACGTTATCAGTTTAAAATTGCCAGTTTTTAATGATCGCGTTTTCATCTTGAAATCAAACGAATCGAGTGCCTGTGGCATGGCAATTATATTCGCCAGGCAATAAAACGGTTGTTTATGAAAGTAGCAGTCGATAATCTGACTCCATCCGGCAAAATAATTTCAAATCGTATCGGTGCACTATTTTTCAGTTAATTGCCTTATAACAAACCAACATATACTTTATATTCTCGAATACACTTTATAGTCTCGCTTAAATTCCGCGATTCTCAACGAAGCGTAAATTTTATGAGCGAGCGCATTATGATAATTAAAAAATATGATCCTATGTAAAAGAACAGTCATTTTCGTTTATGGAACTAGTCAACTTTCATTTTGGAAAAACATGAACTTTCCTGCTTGCTTAATGTAATTTAGATTGGTCGATTTCGTCAACGTATTTATTCGAATCATCTCTATTCGCAATTTAAATTTAATTTTAAAGCAGTACCATAAAAAATATTACGTAAATCGCTCTTCTCGATGGACACAATTAGAACAAGAACGACCGAATAATGATGGAATCAATTTGGCGTTAATTATTGGACTGATCGAATTCATGTTGTGACATAACATGGAAACTTACATGTGCTTTATGTAATGATTTGTATTTCCCAGTAGAATATTGCGAGTTGGACGTTTTGATCTTTCGGATATGCTGCATCGTGTTTCACGATGAGATAGAAATGAATAAATAGATAGATAGATAGATAGATAGATAGAGAGAGAGAGAGAGAGAGAGAGAGAGAAGATGAGAGAGTAATTTACTTTCCGTCTTTTCGTATCACGACTTTATCCTATCCGGCACAAAATTAGGTCAAAATCTTCTTACGCAGAATTTGTTTACGCGAGATAATTGACCGATAATTTTATCAGTTCCGCCATAGGCGCAAAGCTCATAGAAAATTCTCCATCGTTGGAAATTCGTACATGCTATATTTGATTCGTCGACGAACGTTAACACGGTAATCTCGCCCGACATCGTTTCCAATAACTCGCACGTCAAGCAACATAACATCACGACGAAACGGTAGGATTGATCGATTCCTCATCAAACGAGGCTACGTGTTCACTATTCCGTTAGATAATGCTGTTTTATTTATTTACAGTCTCCAACAAGTATTGTCTTTCACACAGACGTTTATGACACTCTGCTACTTTATCTAGCTGAAAGGAGTGAACGTTGATATTTGTCATCTATTTTTGTTATTATATTAAAATCTCAGTAGTGCATTTTTTTGAATATTAAATATTATTAATCGCTATGATTTCTAATTTTAAATTTGTACAAGTATAGCTATATTAGATCATCTATATTATTTCACGCAATATCTTCCATCATCTTTAGCAAATTTATCAAGGGACAGAATAAATCTATCCATCTATCTGCATTCGGTGGGCTACGAGAAAGGGAATTCGCATAAATCGTATTTGCGCGACGACAGCGGAATCGGTATGCAAAGGCCAACTATGCGATTCGGCGTCAGGAGCTAGTGCGAGAACCAGGAACGCAGGATGCAGAGTCGACAGTGTTTGACCCATCGTCCTGGATCCGGCACGGCCGGAACCCTTCGAGCTCGGCAACTATGGCATTTCATGTCGGTCGCGTATCATAAATTAACAGAAGACATAACGGGTGCGCGCGATACGCACACATGCGACAAGCGCAATAAAACTATGCGCGGCAGGAACGAGATAGCAAGTCTCGTCTGACCAAACTCAAATGTATCTACTTACGAGGCTTTGCTTCCGCGCCATTTCATCTTTCATCTCTCTCTCTCTCTCTCTCTCTCTCTCTCTCTCTCTCTCTCTTCCCTTCCTCCCCACTAAGAAGACAACCTTATCTACGGGCTACCTCTTCCTTATCTGCTCGGATATCACTGCAAGTTCTCGAACAAGGGACATCTTCAGGTCGCCGAAACTTCCGCTGCAACTCGTACTCGTCCGGCAGGACCCACCGAGCGAGGTCCTCACGGAAACTACGAAGTGAGTTGGATAAGGATCCAGGGAAGCGAATTTCGGAGAGAACGGAGAGAGAGGGAGAGAGAGAGAGAGAGAGAGAGAAAATAGTTGTAGTAGATAGGTATATCGGTCCCCTGGAATCCAAGCAATGGCGCATTTAATGAAAGATTTCGGACAGAAATTGAAGAGAGCATTAAAATTTAACGGTATACGAAACAATGTGGAGGATGAATACTACGAGGTATGCTATGGCGATCTCATGTTTGTAATATTTAACATTGCAAACTTTGAAGCCCCTTTGCTGCTATTAGAACAACTATGGCAAACTCAGTTAATTTTAACTCAATTAATTCAATTTTCCATGTACTGCGTTATGTATTCCGTGTTTACTTGTTCGCATCATTAACCCTTAATTAAAGCTTAATTAATTCCAACCTTCGATGTAAACTTAGCTTTCGATACCGCGACATTCAATTTGTCCGGCAATATCGGACGAGAATGTGCATTTCCGTACAGGATAGCCACACATTTAGGACATCTTCCACAGTATCATGTTGAAACGTATCTGAACCGTTACTGCATGCACTGCAGGTTCATGTGCCTTTCGAGTAATGCGTATCGATTTTACTCGAAGGATGCAAATATTTACACGTCGCTGGGTCCGGGTGTCCAATTATCGCAGCTCGAGGCGTTTTATCTCGCACGCTAACTTTGCAACGATATGCAAAGCGACTCTATTAATTCCTCCGTACGAGAAGGAAGGAACGCTCGTTCGGAGCGCACGCTCGAAAGTTGTATCTGATGTGGCGTCGTATATCCCGCTCGCTAGTCTGAATTTAGATCTCGCGTACGCTTTGTAATTTATTCTATTACATGTGCCATTGGAAACCGCGACAGCGGTATCAGCTTACGAGTCGCTGTCTCGTGCACGCGCGTTACATCTGTCAAAAGACGGCAGTTGGTTTGCGTAGCGATAAATTATGCTTTCGAAGTGAACGATCCCACTCTTTTTCAATTCTCAATGCGTAAAGACAAAAACTGGATTTTTTGGTTTACGCTCGTTCCGATTTTTCAGTCCTTTTATTAATTCTTTACATAAGAGACCTCTTGGTTTCTTTACAAAAACTTATTATTTTCTGTTACAGTAACATACAGTTCATGGGACGTAACATTTTACTTGTAGTTTTCATTTTACCGTGAACCGTTCCAGATGTACAGATTAAAAGAAAATTTTCATTTATTCATATCTCGATTACATGTATGCTTATCAGCAAGAAAACTTGCTTGCTTGATAAGTCACACCAGCAGCGCGTTGAAAATTCTTGGCCGAGAGCGTGATTGAAAGTCCTGACCGATATTTTGCTAATTACCAGCACGCCAAACACAAACGAACCACTAATTACGTATCCCGGTACAATGGGTAACCCTTAACCAAGCACACAAAAGATTCCAGGTCCGGACTAAGCTCAACCAGCGTGAAATCATTCGTGATTCTGACGGATCGATCTTTCCTCTCCTTTTTTTATCCACCTACGCGTTCTAACTCCGATCTCGTTTCCTTTTGCAGATGACGCTACAAGTATCGTGGGTACGGCACAGAGATGTCCATTTGCTCACAATTGGCCGTTACACGTACACGAACGACCAGCGATTTCGAGCGATTCACAACGCTCATTCGGACGACTGGACGCTCCAAATAAAGTATCCGCAGCATCGGGACAGCGGTATTTATGAGTGCCAGGTCTCCACGACGCCCCATATGAGTCATCTAGTCCATTTAAATGTAATCGGTAAGTTAATAATTTCGATAGTCTTACGTTGGAATGAACAGCTAAACATGCATAAAAAGTTGAAAAGCAGATTGCTATTTGTTCCTGGATATTATCGACGTAAGGCGTCACTGATCGCGTGTCACGGAATAGATTTAACTTCCTCCCATGCGCGATATCTCGCGGTTAGGTTTCTATCAAATATTAGTATGCGGGGAGCATGCGGGAATCCTGCCTAATTACGACGGTGTACGCAACAATTAGTTAATTCTAATCTGAATCTGCCCTAGTTACGTAGCAACTGCGCGAAATTTAAGCCGAGCTTAAATTCTGGCGGAGCGCCAATTGAACACCTGGGATTGGTTGATACCGATGTTGAGCTAAGCTCTGCCTTCTTCTTCCAGGGAAGATAGGGCTTTTCATTACCGCAAAATTATCCGCGCGGACTTAAATTCGATAACGACATCCCTCAACTTTTTCGCTTTCCTTTATCGCTGCTACCGTTCGTCGCGTTGCGCCGCGCCGCGCCGCGCCACGCCGAGAGATAAATTCAGAGAGATACGCGTCGACGTGTCGAGGAGTTCGCTCTTCGAGTTTGCATAAGTAATTACTCGCCGATAATCGAACGCACGTACGTCAGCGCCGAACGCAAGCGATTCGCATACATCATTCGCGATGCGGTATACCCGATTTAATCATGCACCGGTATAACCGAAGTACGAGCGCGAAAAGAAGTTTGCCGACCGGATCGTTTGAAGAGCAAACTTTTATACCAGGCCATATCGCACGTACGGCTCGCTACGAAAAACTTTCGCGATCGCTTAAACGTCAGGCCGGAAATTTATCTACCACGGTGCGCGGTGAATTGATTTAAATCGTCTCGAGGGCGGGGCGCGTCTTCGCGATGCTTCCTCGCGCGTTTTTCCCGTCGCGCGAGCGCCGCGCCGTCATCATCGTTTTGATCGTCATTACAATCGAGGTCACGAATTTCCTCTTTAAGCCTCCGCTGGCGAGAGAAGCTGCCTCTTTAAATTTCGCCTACATTAAGATGAAGGTGAACGAAGGGACCGGGGCGGTCGTATTTCTCTCTTCCTTCCTTTTTCTTCCTCCGACGCGCCTGTTATATTCCCCTCGGAGGTGATCTCGGAGGAGAAACACACGGGACGAAACCCGGTGGCGAGAAAGGTGGGTAAGAGAACGGGTCGTTTATCATTTCTAGCCCTGACCCTTAACGTAACGGTTGAACAAATGATCCTAAAGAGTAACGACTATACACACCTGCTTGCTCGAGGAGAATCGCTACCGATCCTCCTCGAGAGAGAGAGCATTGTACTTTTCTTCCCGTGGTAACGTAATTACTCATCATTCGAGGAGAGTGATAGCTCTCGAGTTCGAAAGCACGCATTTATAACTTCGGATACAACAAATCCGAATTTATGCATTGATAAAATCTTCTCCCGCGTAATCGCGCATCGTTCTATTGACTGAATATCGTCTTCGCCGATAAATAACACTACTCTCTGGCTTACGTTCTTGCTTCTCTTGTTGTTATAGTTAACACCATCATCCGATTCTGTTATCCTACACGATCTTTCTATATTGAATTAACACACAAGTGCAGAAACGATCACAAAAATACTCTCTTACGTCGAATCGATAACTATCGGTTTCATGAAGCGATAACCAATAAATTTTACGACTTACCTCATATAATCGGATCAATGAGCTTATACGACAATCGAAAAGCAATTTAAACCACTTATACGTGTACAAAGTTATAAAGTATCATTGTGTTTCTTTCTTCAGTCAGAAAAATATATAAGAGCGCTATAAATTCTCGCAGTGAAACAATGAAAACTTTGCCTTTTCGGAACTAAATTATAATAAAAACATTATCAAGTAGTCGTATTTTCGTTAGACTCTTTATCATTATCTCTATAAATGAATTAGCACTGTATATTATCTGTTACGATTATGAGAAAAATGTATTTTCTTTGTAAGGAGATCAAAGTTTTTATACTTCATATTTTATGGTTAACGCATTATCAAGTTAATATTATTCTTTATAAAGCAATTTTATTATATAAAACTGTGAAAATTCCTATCTAAAGTTATTAGATAGATATAGATCGTTTTTCTTAATCATAAACCTTATTAGTAATTTATATTAACTAATATTAATTCTGAAGCTATTATTAACAACGCAATTTCACGATAAATATCTCAAACTAATATCTGCGAAACTAGCGCGTAGGAAAATCAGTAAGCTGATTACAGAGTCGAGAACTTGTGAGTATCGCCATTTAAATGAATACCAAACTTTCGTGGCACCAACCATCCGCAAATATTTCCGTTTCCTAGGACATCCTCGGCTTAAGCTGTGCCGGTATTTACATTCACTTACCGTCTCACCCGGGGCTTTCACGCGATGTCTTTTGCGGTGATTGTATTTGTTCGCTTGTTTTCCAAGCGCAACTTCCTACTGATATTCGCTATTAACATTTCTCAAAGAAACGCCGCGACTGACTAATTGGTAGTTTTTAACGCATTGTATTTGAAAAATATGCTTTTTCATCGTGCCCTGAATACGCGAAGCGTGATGGAGAATGCAAAACAGCGTTACCTTGCTTTCCATCCGAGTTATACAGTCGCGTGTCTGTGTGTTGAAATACACGACGGTGATGTAACGGGGTTTATTTTTCTAAGTCAAAGCACAATAGATTCCGCGGTGCGATTTACGAGTTCACCGCTTACATTCTTCAAGATTTCGTTTAACCATTGTAAATAAAATTGCTCGACGACTGCAGGTATTTTTCTCGTTAAAGCACCACGCGCGGTGGGGTGTCGGCCTCTCTCTCTCTCTCTCTCTCTCTCTCCTTTTTTTCGTCAGTCTTCCGTTGAAAAATTATTTCCCAAGCTCGCGCTGCGACCGTAAAACGTCTTTATCATCGCACCTGCTTATATACGTTACCCGTCTTCAAATTACTTTTTGTTTATACTTATTGAACTAAAGTTTCACGACATCGATACTTAAAAAGCACCTGCTGATAATATTTCTAAATCAACGACAATGCCTCTTTAATTTTTCTTATCATCGTGACACCTTTTTTTCACACATTTAAAATTATGCATTATTTTCTTGTTTCATATTTTTTCTATCGATAAATAAATAAAGAATAAAAATGTAAATGCTTGTTGCGTAAAGCACAACGAGAATAGTACACGCGATATCCATTTTCTAATGGCGATACTGTCCTCTAGAAATACACTATTGCATTCATTCTAGATAATTGCGATGTATCTGATACTACACATATCTTCCAATCATGAAGAAGCTAACGACTCGACACTACCTTTATTAACGCGTTAAGCTTTATGTCCTCCAGATAAACGTCGCACCGGTGGATAGTATCGCCTCGTATCTCAACTCGTGCCTACTCTCCGCGGCTATAAATGCTTTCTCTCTGGTAATGCGGCTCGCAAATTTGCAATATCCATGCTTTCTTGTTACCCCTACTGCTATCCCTACTCCAACGGCTTTCTCCTCCGTCACTCCATTTCTGCCTTTACGAGCGCGTAAAAGCTCATAATGATACCATCGTGAACCGGCCATGAACCACTTTTGCACAGATTGGAATATTTCATCGCGGGGCACGCGACTACTCGTAGCAATTAATAACGAATAGCTGCCGCTATCGAGATCATCGTAGAACGATCAGAGCTGCCATATAAGCAAAATAACAAAGCCGATATATCTCAAATTAATTTTGCGATAAAAAAGGATTATATAGAATAAAACATTTTGATTGTAAATTGTAACAATGCGATTAACACGGAATTTACAACACAACGAACAATATGATAGTACTCGTATTAATTTACTTATCAGAAAAGTCTCGTTTTTAAATTTGATTTCCCTGCAATAAAATTTCAAGATGCAATCCCGAACGGGTAAAAATTATCGCGGAAACAGTAATCGTCATGATTCAACGATCGCAATCTGGAAGCAATTTTTTCATTAGTCGCGAGTGCCTCTTATCGGATATAATTTGAGATCTTGGAAAAGTATTCGCGGAGAAAAGTGTCAGATTCTCGCGGTAAAGTGCACTTCGCTTTATCTTAAGTCGGGTCGAATAGTTTCCTCACTATTTCTGCTTTAGCTTTGATTAGACGCATTCAAATCGAACGCTTTTCTTCTTTCTTTCCTTTTTACATCTCTTCAAGAAACTTCATTCAATGATGGAGAAGATAGTGTAGTACGCATTTCGTTCTGCCGTTGCAGAAAGCTATACGTTTCTTACTTGCAATCAATTATTCGATCCATGGAGTTTTGTAAATAAAAAAAAGCAACATCTGATTGTGAGAGGTGTACTTCGTTCCACGTACTTCTCTCACCATAGACATTCATTCGATTTGTTTTGTCTGTTATAGTTTCTCGACTGTCACGATCAACTTATTCCACTTAAGACGATACCGCAAATTCTATACCTTCCATCACAGATTCTACGTTCTATGTACACAACTTCCCATTAGAGCAGACATTACTCAAATATATCGAAATCTCGCAATGTCGAGGAAACAAATCGTGTGCGGACTGTCTTTCACTCTTTTCCGTTATCAATTTTTGTCCGATATCCAATTACACTTGTACTTCATATCAATTTTTTTTCGGATTAGTTAAATTCGAGGAAAAAAGTGAATTGGATTTAGAAAAGGCAGACAATTTCGTATTAACGAGACGAGACAAAGTTCAATTGCGTTCGCCAAACTTTTTATAAAAATGTAATTTTCCAAGCATACGTTTACTTTGATGGTGCCCAAACCTGAACCCCGAAACTATGAATATAAGTATCGAATTGCGACTCCGTTAGACTTTCGATTGGAGCGCGATCTTTGCCGGCAGTAGTCGAAAAAGACAATATCGTTCGTAGCAGGACGCTTCTATTGACTCGCGAACAAGTTTGGTGCCAACATTGCACAAAGCGAACGGAGCCGTTTTATTACAGTATCCCGAGATACAT